CCCACATCTCAAACACAGCAGCAGCAGCCGGAGAGAGAAGATGATGATGGATTTCTCTTGGTAGTTTTTTTTATTTTCGAAAAGGTACCACCGAATCGTCAAAGAAATTCAAATAAATAAATACCCGTATGCTGATAATTATTTCGGAACAACAAAAAGAATTTTCCACGGTATCATCCCATATTCTACCATTTAACCGTGCCGTTCTAAATTTAACTTCAAATTTTATTATATGTTCCATTTAAATAACGGAAGAATAAGAAKAAGAAGAAGAAGGGATGATGAGTGTATAAACTGTTAGAAGCAAGAAACGAACGTTTTAGTTTCCTTGTTTATACGGAAATATGGATACGAGTTATATTTCGTAGGATAAATAAACAAACTGCAAATGTGAAACATGCCGCCATTACTGCCGTGCGCGAAATGTTTTAATGCTCGTTAAACTAAAGCATTTATCACAGCTCTCTTTTGTAAACGATCAATTTAAAACATTGTTATACACGTAATACGAACAACTGTATTAACATAAACTGTTTCAATAATTATTGCGAATAATAATTTTCACAAAATGATACGTAACAATATCCCCCACCACGAGTCCATCTTCCCCCCCACCACCGACACTATCATGACGATAGCTGAAAATTTATCGAAAATATATATTGAAGAGATCTGATTGGACGTTTTAGCATCGATAGTCAGTAACTTTCAGTACTTTATGTAAAACGGTACTTTACCTTGAATCTCTGGCGTTAATAGTAACTGTATGCCTTGTGCTTACCGATAAAATCACAGGCATATATATATATATATATATATATATATATACACTGCATTTAATATCTTTGCTTGCATTCGTGTTATAGGATCATCCAGTTGCGGTGCAAAGTTAGCCACTGAAAAAAAAAAAATCTCATATTACATATTTTCTTGTTTGCGATAGAGGTTTTGCTTCTTTTTTTTTTTTTTTAAATTAACTCGTATCTTTCGCGTTTTTATTAATATATAAATTATTCCTATTTATTAAAAAAACATTTTCTTGTTTTTACTATTCTCCTGTTATTTTTCTTTTTCTTCTAAGAAAAAGAAAAATATGAATCTTCGCGTCTTCTTAGCCGCAAAAAACAAAACAACAAACAATTTTTTCTATACGCCATTTTATTATTTCCTTTTATTTTGTTTTCCTCGTTTCAACGAAGCCTCCGGCTAATTTATTTTACTCATTCATTGTTTTTTTCTCTTTCTCTCTCTTTCTCTCTCTCTCTCTCTCGTACTCTTTCGAGGAAAAAAATATGAGCGTTTTGCGACTTTGCAAGTCCGAATGCACGAAACCAAAGCATCATTGGTAAAGCGTTCAAGGTGAACGATTGTGCGTTGTTGCTTCGAAGAAACAAGGACACCCATCGGTTTTACATTAATACACGTATTATACGCGTTAAATATTCATTTATACGACGATCTCTAACTTTATGCATTTTTACGCGCATTGAAGGTCATTGAACCTTTTTGTTTTAAACACTATAATAGAAATGACAAACTTTTTATAATCATAATATAAATAAATAATCAAAAATACAATTATCTCCATTATAGTATTTGAGTAATCTGAAAAATTATATATTAGGATAATATTATATTATTATTAGGGTAATATTAGGGTATATTATACCCCTAACAGTTAGGGTTTAGGGTGAACCAAAAGTTCTGACAATTTTATTCAATTAATATTTACCAAAATAAATTTAACAAAAATAATCCCCTCCCATTATGCAATTTCAATATAAACAACACAATAAACGCACTGAGGTAAACTTTTGGGTTCACCCTAAGTTTATATATATATACACCATTGAAAAAAAAAAAAAAAAAAAAAAGTGGTTTAATTATTCACAATTGTGTTTGTATAATGATGCATAATTGGGTGTTCATTTTCTTTGTTTTTTTTTTTGTTCAGACGGAGAGCGAGTATTCCGTAGAAGAACAATCGAGGTTAACTGGAGCAGATGGTGCGGCAGACGAAACTTCCCCGGAAGATGAAGGAGGATCATTATGCGAATATCATGACATACCACCACCACCGGACGGCGGCTATGGCTGGGTGGTTGTGTTTGCTTCATTTATGTGTAACATGATAGTGGATGGGATTGCATACACGTTTGGAGTTTTCCTTGGCGAATTCGTTAAATACTTTGGGGAGGGGAAAGGCAAAACTGCTTGGGTCGGTTCTTTACTCTCTGGCATGTATCTTAGTGCTGGTATGCAACATTTGACACTTCTTATATCTTTTTTAATACTCACAAATTATCTCGGTCTTTTTATACAATTCTCTTTGTCTCCATTTTTTTTTTGTCTATTACAGGACCTGTTGTCAGTGCTCTGACTAACAAATATGGTTGCCGGGCAGTATGTATGGCAGGAAGTTTTCTAGGTGCAGCGGCATTTGTACTTTCAACATTTTCAACAAGTGTAAATATGCTTATGATGACTTATGGTGTGATGGGAGGTCTGTAATAATGCAACGAATGAATTTACAATCTAAGGTTTAGATATCTATTCAACATTACTCAATTTTATTTTCTTTTTTTTTCATACTTTTATTTCAGGTATCGGCTTTGGTTTGATATATCTTCCTGCAGTAGTTTGCGTAGGCTATTATTTTGAAACGAAAAGATCTCTTGCTACCGGCATTGCGGTATGTGGCTCAGGGTTTGGCACGTTTGCGTTCGCGCCTCTTGCCACTTTGCTCTTAGAAACGTACAGTTGGAAGGGGGCAAATTTAATCTTAGCAGGCCTTATTTTGAATTGCGCAGTAAGTAAATAATAATTCTGTTAAAACGAGTTATTTCTTTTCTTTTCAAAATATTACAATCGTTCATTATTAATATTTGTAGGTATTTGGTGCAATGATGAGACCCCTGGAATATCCAAAAACATCATCCGTAAAGCCATTGTTACAAAGAATGGCAGAGGAGAAGAGGTTTCAAATGGAACGTGGAAGTATAGGTGGTTCTTATTTCATGGTACAACTACCAGATGGGTCTATGGAGAAAAGAATGAAAATGCCTATTAATATTGATCCGGGTGTACACTCAAGCTTCAATTTAGATCAATTAGTGCCTGGTAAAATCTTAAATGCTTGTCTATTTAAAGAGAATCCATCCTCTTTTAGTAATGTAATTTATTGTATAAGCTCATTGTATACTCATGAAATTAAAGGAACTCCTTTAACACCAGTTCCAACGGTGCCGACTCTACCCACCATATCGGAAGTCAAAGTCCAAGAACATTCATCCAGTGGGGCAACCAGTAACAGTGGAAGCATGGATTTGAAAAATATTTCTAACAAATCGAAGAGTAAAATTGCTATCGAGAAAGAAAAGGACAGTGAAAAAACTGAAGGTGAAATAATTAAGCCGATACTTCCGAGAAACGCATCGCAGCCAGCTTTTACAACGCACGTTCAAGGTTTGCCTAAAAATGGTTCAGTACCGTTCTTTGACAGAATACGTAAAACTAGTACAGGTGAAAGGTATAAACCAAGTTTAAGCGCCATTAAGAATTCTAGAACAACCTTGAATTCTAATGGTGATATTAGAAAAAGTTTGCATTTAAGGCTTTCCACTAGCAGTGTATTAGGATCTCGTAACAACAATGCAGAAGTTGAGGTAATATATTAAACAAATCATTTATTGTTGTTCTTTTCATTTTCAACGATGAATTTTAACTTTAATTAACATTTCTATGTATTTTTTGTACAGGATGGTGAAAGCATAACTTTTACAACAAGTACATCTCGCATCCCAAAGGAAAAACCTTTAATGGTTCGTCCTTTGTCAAGAAAAGATATATTTTACAGTGGCAGTGTTGTTAATTTACCAGAATATCAAAGTCAAAAATCACTTACTAATTATCGTCAAAGTGTCATTTCATTACCCAAATCTGCACGTGAAATCAAAGATATAGATATAGAAAAAGGACCTCAACGTGAGTATATATAACAAATAATATTATATTTATATTTGTGTTTAACATTAACTAATGTTATAAAAATGTAATATTTTAGAACCGTTATGTCCCTGCTTAGTTTTACCTGATTCATTTAAAGAAGCGTTAGGAACAATGATGGATGTATCATTGCTTAAGGATCCAGTTTTTCTTCTTATTGGAATAAGTAATGTATTTGGAATGGCAGGATTATATGTTCCTTTTGTATATCTAGTAGATGCTGCTATCTTAGATGTAAGTAATACAATTTTTCTATAAAATGAGAAAATATTTTGTATTGGGTTAGCAACTAATTAAATCATTGCAAAGTTTAAAAAGCCATCTAACGACAAAATCTGCAATCATTTACTTGCTAACCCAATATATTACAAAATTTCTACACAATTCTGTTATTGTGTAGATTTGTAATTAAAAAGTTATGTTTAGAGTTATTAAACAATGTTGACATTTTATTTTCAGGGAATTGAAAGCAACTCGGCATCATTTTTATTATCCATCATCGGTATAACCAACACAGTGGGTCGTGTTGCATGTGGATATGTAGCAGATTTTCCTCAAGTTGATTCGTTATTGTTAAATAATATTTGTTTAATAATATCTACCCTTGCTGTAGCAGCAACACCATTTTGTCATTCATACGCATCTTATATCGCCATGAGTATATTCTTTGGTATAGCAATATGTAAGTATACGTTATAATATTATTTCACATTCGCCATTTTGAAATAACATTATTAATAAATTATATTGAATAATACTTTAGCTGGTTACATCTCATTAACTTCGATCATTTTGGTGGATCTATTGGGATTGGATAAATTGACAAATGCATTTGGATTGTTGATATTGTTCAGAGGAGCTGCCGCCATTGTTGGTTCGCCATTAGCCGGTGCTGTTTACGACGCTACTCAAAGTTACAGTATACCATTTTTCATGGCAGGATTTTTCTTCTTTGTAAGCACTGTCACCAGTTTCATGGCACCTGCTATGAAACGGTGTACCACGCCGCAGGTATCTTTTTTTATTTACATTGTCCTCTACTTATATCAAATATTATATATATATATTTTTTTTTATGTTTCTGATAAGATTATATTATATATATATATATATATATATATATTACATATTTGTAGACGCAACCTGTGATATTAGATACGTTGACACCAATTGACGAAGATATCGAGGAAGAAAATGAAGAAGATATACCGGAAATTGTTGAAACAGCACCCTCACCTCAAGATTTACCAGAAAAAGAAATCAAGCAGATAGAATCGGTTTTGTAAACACTGTTAAACGACGACGATGACAATGCGGTATCTTTTTTGTATTGATTAGAAAAATGACGCCTTTACTCCGAGCCACACTGTGATAGGGCTGCTAATTGCTTAGAAATGGTCTCACAAAAAGAAGATGAAGAAGAAGAATAATAAGAAGAAGAAGAAGAAGATGAAGAAGAAGAAGAAGAAGAAGAAACGTTTTTATTTCTTCGTTACGTATTTAATGTGAAACAAAGAAGAAGAAAAAAAGAGAAGAAGAGAAAAAAAAAACATAATGCACAAAATCGATCGAGTATATTATATTATTACCTGGTGACATTTTTTTTTTTCATAGTCTCAAAAACTTTTTCGATATATACTGTTATATTATTTCAATGTTTTCTTTCCTTCCCCCTCCCCTCCCCCTCCCCTTCTCTTCTCTTCTTCTTCTTCTTCTTCTTCTTCTTCTTCACCTCTCCCTTTCTTTTTTATTTTATTTCTAATTTAACGAGACGACGAAATTATTTGTACAACAACAAAAAAAAAAAATATCACCAGGTACAAAAAGCTGTTCTTTTGCCTATGTCAATAATAGATTAAAAAAAAAAAACTAGATAGTGAAATTTCTTAACTTAATCAGTATCGATCGATCAGTATAATACGAATTGAGAGAATGAGAGTGAGAGAGAGAGAGTGAGAGTGAGAGAGAGTGAAAAAGAAAAGAAAAGAAAAGAAAAGAAGAAAAAAAAAAAAAAGAAAATCATGTTGAAAAAAAAGCGCTTTTGCACTTGCATATCGAGCAATCTTGATGAATAATTAATAAAACATATTTATAGCGATTTTTAGCGAGTATGATGATGGAGATGCTACGATTGATGATTTATGATGATGACGATTTAACGTCAGGGGATGGTCAATTTCAATTCGTTGACTGAATTTACTTACGTGGGATCCGATAATGTCACGTTTATTATACACACATATATATATATATATATATATATATATATATATATA